AAACTGTAGGAGTCACACAATAGAACACTAAACAATAATGGACAGGTATTACCTGCTTATGTCTTAGAACATACAAAAAAACCCCAAACCAAACCAAACCAACCAACCACTAAACTCACAACACTGAGCAAAAGCCTCCTGATAGAGGAGTAAACATTGTATGTTTCTATTGATATAAAACATAAAAGCAAACAAAACTAATCATCTGTACTGTTACAAACCAGACAAGAGATTACTTTTATTTTTTTTGGGGGGGGGTGGCTCAGAGCTTGTATGTTTGGGGATTCTGCAGGCTACCAATGTTGTGCCTTGGGTCTCGGCTATGTGTATTTTGTGAAAATTCATCATACTCTACACTCAGATATAATTTTGTCCAAGCATATCATTTCACTAAAACCCTTACATTATCAAAAGAACAACACACAAAAGAAGAAGACTTTAAGGGAAGAAAAAAAATAAAGAATAAACATATACAATAGTTATGAAAATACTTAAACAGTAGGTTAAAATTGAAAAAGATGGAATTAGTCGTTAGAAAGTCAAGGTAATTCCCCAGGATGTAGCAGGAGGATAAAGAAAAAAAAAAGATGAAATCACAGACCCAGAGAATACAAAATCAGAACCTAAGAAATCTAAGCTGCACTGCAATCCCAGCGTTCAAACCCACTCTGCTCTGCTGGAGGAGGGGAAATCTCCTCCTGTACTAGTCAGATCCGATTTGATGGTACACACACAAAAATACTAAAATTTAAAAAAAAAATCTATCTCAAAGGACTACAAACTGGAAGAGACAATATTTAAAGACAAAAAGAATGGGAATTTTCCAAAATTGATATAAGATTATCCAGGCTCATAAAGAATGAGTCCTGAACAGAATCAATACAAATTACCTACACTTAGCAGCCTATTACTTTAGCTTTTTAGAGATTAAATAGTTCCATCTCCTTAAGATGAAGAAATTGAAGCCCAAAAAAGGACTAAGTGATTTCTCTAAGGTCTAAGGGATCAGTAGAAGAAATCATCTGTATAAGCAAATATAATCTGAATGTGGTATTTTAAGGGTTATGCTTAAGAACTGCTTAACAATTTCAATGCTCCTACTGGTTTCATCATTTATAAACACTCATCTAACAGTACTCTCTCACGAAGAGAATTTTAACTTGTCAGCTGAAGATATGGAGGCATTACTGATTCAAGTACCATGAAGTGCTTAATAAATGGTGTTTAATGAACGCTAAGACCAAATGAGAGCTGCTCATATACACTGGGAAGAAAGTTTCAAGATAAGCCTTCTATTAAAATTTCATAAGGCCATTGTAACCATTTCAGTGCATAAATCTCCTATCTATTATCTTCCTGTTAAAATGTTTCAACATTTTAGAGCACTTTTGAATCACATTTTTCCATTACATACATCAGTGATATAAGGCAAATTACATTCTTCCTTTGAAAAGGAACAATTCAACATCTAACTGAACCTCTCTGAATGCCACTGTTAAGTGTTACACAAATTTGAAAATCGACCAAGGCATAAAATGTACTGATATACAGCACCCATATTTTACAAAATTATTTCAGATGACAAATGGTGGTTGTTAGGTGCTATCAAGTCAATTACGTCTCAGAGTGACCCTATAAAAGTAACACTGCGGAACCTTGCCTCATCCTATACTGACAAGTGAGCGGCTTTAAATTCAAGTATTTAGAAATAGACCTAGTTAGTATATCACTCACTCATCAACATCGAGTCGGGACCAACTCCTAGTTGGCTCTCTAGTATTTCCAGAGACTGTAAATCTCATGGGAAGGATGCACTCCTCTCTCTCTCTCTCTCTCAAGAGCGGCTGGCAGATTAGAAACACCTGCCTTTGGGTTGGAGGTATGCTTCTCTATCCACTAGGCCAAAAGGAAAAATAAAACTAAAATGAAAAAAGACAACTGGCTATGAAAGACTTCTATCACGTATTTACTGCACATAAAACTAAAGGAAATATGAATTTAGTCCTTACTCAAGTTTCAGGGTTTTGAAGTGGTAAAGAGCAATAATGTTCATAGATTAAAAATTCATTAATATTTTCTCACTACTTTTGATAACTTTTTAAATTAAGACAGTAAAATTTATGAGAAATATAAACTCACAAATATATAAAAAAAATAATCTGGAACTTCAAAGAATTTCTAATATTTTTTTATGAGTAAAAGGCTTTATTAGATCTAAGTCTAGGAAGATAGATGACAGATTCTTCATATGTTTTTTAAAATGAGGAAATAAAGTTCGTACTTAAACCCCAGACTCCGCAAAGAACTGTTTGAAAGACATGTGTTTAACTTCTCAAAGCATCTTGATTCGTTTCAGCTGTTTATGAAAATTAAGAGGCATACATTTAGGTTTCAATGTACTTTATTTAAACGCAAATCTGACAACTATAAAAGGAGCATTATAAAATTAGTCTCCAAATGTAATTAGCAAAAGGAAAAATAAAACTAAAATTAAAAAAGACAACAGGCTATGAAAAATACTTCTATCAAGTATTTACTGCACACAGAACTCATTCAACTGTATAAAGAAACCACTAACACACTTAATTTTACCAATGAACAAAGTACACAGAAATCACACAAAAGTAAATATTGTGAATTAAAACACAGGAAATTGTTCAGGTTTGCTGGAAACCAAAAAACAAAGCAACCTTGAACTTTCTCTTACCAATGAGCAAAAATACTTCCATTCCCCCACCCAATGCTCCAAATTTTCAGTGAAATTGATATATGCAAAGGATAACACTAAACTATGAAAACTCTTTGAAAAAACAGTAAGACAAACATATTAAGAACAAAAAAAGGATCATATTATTAATTTAATAATCCTACCCCAGGAATTTATTCTAACAAACTGAAAACAACTTCAGTGTTTAGGAATAAGAAAATGGTTTCAATTGTAATATACAACAATTCAAATAAACATCTAAACTAAGTATAAATAGAGACCAATAGGTGAAAAAATGTAATAAAAACTGCAGGTACCTGAAGATTGCAAGCATGTGAACAAAACAGGGTAAACAAACAAACAAAAAATCAAAAGACTGAAATTACTCTAGTATTTTAACAGCAAGAATTACGTATTCATCTGTTTCCTTTTGGCAAAATTTCCCTCAATGTTTTTAATAAAAAAATAAAAGATGTGGTTAACTTTTTTAAAAGCCACTTTTCTTTCAAAAAAATCTCTTCTCCATTAGTAAATTACATGTGTTAGTTTTTAAGTGGAGATATACCACAGCTGTTTTCTAAACTGTAAATAGTCCTCTATTTAGACCCTATCTGACAATGCATGAAGACATATTGCCATTTTTGCCATTCTAGTAACAAAGATAGCCAGTCACTACTCTCTCGTGTTGACAAACTAACAGGGTGCTCAGATATGAAAAGTCAAACTGTAAACTTCTAATTTACTGCTTCATGTTTGATATTTTACATTAATATATAATAGTATCAAACTATTTCCTTATTATTTTTGTCATACTAATAATGTTTTCTCTTAATAAGTTGCTAGTGTGCTTGAAATGTTCCACTGAAGCATATAGCTTTTTTTTTTAAAAAAACAACAACAACTGAGTTTATATTAGATGAACTACAAACCAAACTCCGTTGCTTGCTATTGTTGGTGTCCGCCTTTGAGATGAGCATGACTCACAGCGACCCCATGAACAGAAGGCCTGAGGCCTCTTTACAGCCATCGACATTTATTAAAGTTCACAGAGTTTCTGGAGGCATTAAGTATTTAAAAATTCAGAGTTACAAGCTGCAAGCTGGCAACCACCTTTAATAGAAAGTCAATCTATAAAAATGGAAAAAAACAACCCATAAAAAACAAAAACCACCAAAAAAACCTCACAAAACCAAAAAAACCTCTAATATTTTATGAAATTTGTTGTGATCTTTTTCATTTAGAAACTGTATGCGTAAGTGAAGAGATTTAAAATTTTTCTACAAAATGACTATTTTCTTCTAATAAAAATATGAAGCATTAATACACATGGAATTTACTATAGTGTTATACAACTATGTTTTTTAAAATATGATAAAAAGGGGTAGGGAACTTCCAGATAGATTATTTGTATGAAAACGTTACAGAATAGTTCATTAATCATTCAGAGCAGAAGAGCTTAACTGGCAATGCGAGTCAGCAATCTCAAAGTTTATAAATATCAGCTGAAAGAGCAAACAACAAAAAAATGATGTCAAGGGGATTAACGCGCTATGAGAATACAGAAGGAAAGTGTAAAGAAGGAGAAATATGGTTTGATGTGAATACCCATTCTTTAGTTTAAGATAAAAACATTATCCTGCTTAGTAACTTGGTACAAAGTGATCATTTTAATGGAAGGACTAGAAAGAGATTTCATCGCTGCCAAAACGCAAGCCACTGGGGCTGTCCTCTGCTCCAATGGTGAAGGGGAACTTCTTTCAATATTTAGGCTTCTGTTTCGATCCTGCCAGTGGTAGCAGTAATGATTTGGTTCACTTACAAATATTTATCATAAAAATTCATTCGTATCCAAGATTTAAACAAACACAACTATTACTAAATGAGAGTCATCTTTCCAAAGAAATGCTCTTAATAAAAATAAACTCCGAAACACAAAGAGTTAAATGATAGCTACTTCAAACACGGCTGGGGGGGAAAAAAAAATCAATACAATTAGAGTCATCAAGAATTCAAAATAACACTAAATAACATTCACTTATGAAACCAAAGTCACATGAAGTGCCGTATTTCCTTTTTCTCTGATTAGAAAATGTATTCAACTTTCCACAGGAACAACTCTGAAGAGAGAGCAAATTCAGAAACAACATAAAACATTCTAAAAGAACTTTCCATAATACAACAAAGAGAACAAATGTAAAGTCTTTTATAATGTGTAGCAGATGAACTGCGTCCTACAGAAACTGTAAGTAATGGATATTTTTCTTCATGCTGGGGGGGGGAAGCCAGACAAATCTTAACACGTCTGAATGGCATCGTGTCCTCCTTTCGCCTCATTTAACGAGGCACTCTGGCAGGTCAAAGCCTGGTCTTTCGACTCCTCGGGCCTGGGCTTTTTAAGTCCTGTCTCGGCTGGGAGGAGAGAGGAGCAGAGCTCCAGCGCCTGCGCTATGTCGTCAATGGTCCACTTCTCCTCAGGAAGGGCATGGTCTTCTAGAGTAAATGGTCCCTGTTTGGTTCGGGTCAGCTCGAGCACATTGGCACACGACGAGAGTTCTACGGCAACAAAAAATGGAAAGCCACAAGAGAAGCAGTCGGAATTATAGTCCCATGATGTTTCAAGTGACAGAAGAACTCAACTTAAACCTCACAAAACCACCCTCGACGTAAAATTATAGTAATCCAATCTAAGAAACAAATGTCTAGAGATGAAGAACGGACTAAGCAGTAAAATATTTAATAGCTCACCTTAGCAATTGTTTTAAAGTCTACAATGGACTTATACATATTTTTCTCATTATCTTCACTTTGCAGATGAGGTAATATGACTGATCCAATGTCAAGAATGCCAGTCACTGACAGGGCCATAATGGCAACTTTCTGGCTGTGTCTATTATTTTTTTTTTTTTAATGTTTGGGTACTAATGTAATTAATTTTTAGATTAAAAAAATTTTTTCCCAATTTGCATGCAGTCAATTTTTTTTGTATTTGGCAAAATCTTGGACTTTGCTTTCATTACTTCTTTTTCATTTTCCGATTCTTTCTTCTCCCCCATTTTAAGTATTTCACTGTGGCTGTGGATGCTGATAATTACATGCCATACACCTACAATGCTTTAGAGCTGAAGGCAAGAGAAGTTCAGTTCCTAAGACAAGTATTCAGAGATATGGAAAACAGAAAATCCTTTCTTCCTATCAAAAAGGAATATTACTTTCATTTGATAATTCATACTCAGTTTCATACTAACCTTTGCCAATGTCACTGACCAAGCTTCTGATATAAAAGCCTCCTCCACATTCAACATCTGGAATGTTAACAGTGACATGGTAAATTGCCAACCTCCTATGAAATCCACTTTACATAGAAATGATGCCCCTAAACAAATGTAAAAATGCACTAGGCAAACAATCGCGTGATAAAATATTTATGTGCTAAAACATAAATTATTCATCCAGGAGCATATGTGTTTGGGAGATTAAAAAGTCAGAGTGTGGAGAAAGCAAACAGCAGAAACTCATGAACACATTTTTTTTTCTGAAACACAAAATTCATTACAACTAGTTAAGAAACCATACATTCTTGTAGTATTAAAAAAAAACTTCATCTGTGATCTGTAAAGTATATAAACTGTAAACTTATGCAGCTCCTACACCAATGAAACCGAATTCATAGGCACAGAAAGTGGCTGCAAAGAGTTTAATTTATGCCTTTTTTGACACCACATTCACTAGTTTCCAAAAGTAAATGGGCAACACAAAGGCCTTCATGAACACATTTTAAATTAACTGGCAAGTCACAGCACTTTTATACTTTAGCTTTATTCATTTAATAGGTTTTAAATAGCAGAAATCTCAGTTTCATGATTATGAATTAGAGGCTTTTAAAAATATTCACGTTTGTACACCACAAAAAAATTTAAAAAAACCCAAATTCTTTTAAAATTGAGAGAAATTACATTTAAGGTAATACATGAATAATCTAATTAAATGTTCTTTCTCTTAGAAATATTCCAGGGAAGAAAAATATTAAAATAACCAGGAGAACTATACTATGTCCCAAAACTGAATGAGTAAGTATCTTCTTAACAACTAGCATAAACATCTAGTTGACTGGTTCAGAGCAGGGCTCTGAGTTATCATATAAGACTCTGGTTATCTGCCATATGAGAGCTGTTCCACTGAGGTCTGTGTAAGTCTGCAACTTTGGGGTGGGGTGAGAATCACTCTTTGGATTCTTTTTCTTCATATACAAGATCTTCTGAAAAAAGCAAATGTCTCCACGCAAACGGAGGACATTCCAGCTATTTCTAGTCTTATATGGAGGAGTGAATCCCTTGCCCTGTAATCCGAGCAGGGTAAGGGCCACAGTGGAGGGAAAAGTGAGTATGCTATCTATACTGCAGGCTTCTGGTGTTCTTGCACTGTATTTGACTCTTCAGTTTACTAGCATCATTAGTCAACAAAATAAAGTATAAATGGCTTTGTACTTTCAAAGATACAATCTATCTTGCCAACCCGTCTGTTGCATTTTCATTTAAGGGAGTATTTAACAGTGTTTCTAACATTATCTCCCAAATATTTCACAATCAAAAGTACTGACTTTCAAAAATTACACAAAACCACATTCTGCAGTAATAATGCATATTACACAGTAATGTCAATAGAAAGTAGTACGTTTTAAAAGGTTCTATCTATAGCAGAATTCGTTTAAGGGAGTCTACAGATTATGAACCTTGGTTTTGAATTCCCCACAGCTCCTGTATCGACAGGTGGCTCTAACTACTTTCTGAAATCAGGTGAAAAAGAACGTAATAACTGAGTGGTGCTGAGTTAGATTCGACTCACATCTGTCCCTCCCCCCAGAGGGTGGCAGAGGCTGTAAAATGACAAGGGAGGGGAGAGCGGGTCCTCCTCCCTCAAGTCCTGGTGGCTGTCGTTAGGTTGGCAGCACACCCCCCCAAGGACTACACCACTGGAGCTCCCCACGTAGTGTAGTTTCCATTTTTACATTTATTTCAGACACAGATTGTATATAAATTCAAACTGCTACTCTAAATTAAAAGGGAATCATCTATTTAAAAATTCCTTTTCCCTTGCTCACTCTCCTATTTTCAGAATCCTTAGTAGTCACTTGTAGGTGATACGGCAGGGAGAAGATAAATAGGGTACCACTTCACCAGCAGAATTTGTCTCAAACCTCAAAGCGCTTTGTTTATAACATCAAAGGGATGTAAATTCTAAACTGAACATAAGCAACCAAGATACCAGCAAAGATGAAGGAAAAGTACTCATTTGTAAAGGAGCACAAAATACGAATTCTCAACTTTGAATATATATTCCTTACTTACTCTTTGGTCCTGTCCCTAATGGTCACAGGATAGCTGGATCAGGGCAAGTCTGACTTCACTGCATTTCGGGTTCCCAATAAATGTGAGGCTGACTGAATAGCAACTAACAACAATGACAACCATTCTTTCCCAGAGGTCTAAGAACATGGGACTTCTAACTTTTAGGGTAAATAAAACAATACTGTATCAGAAAATCAGCTTATTGAAAAGACATTTCCACATAGTTCTATGCAGCTCATTAAATGTGACAACCGAAGTATTAGCAACTCTTGATCTTCCTTAAATTAAAATCTCCACTATCAATGGACAGTGGCACAAAATATTTAAAAACAAAAGTTTACATAAACAACAAGTAGATCACTCTTTGTCCTTACCTAAGGTGAAGAGCGGCGGCTGGAATTTTTGAAGGGAGATACTGTACACAGTAACCGGCCGGGCAGGTTTTGCTTCTACTGCTTCACCTCTCTTCATCAAAGTTGAAAGTCTCTGCCCATCTTTCTTTAATGCAGAATAGCTTACATATAAGCAATGAGAAAAGAGAAGGGAGAATTGAAAGATAAACTCCAGAGGACAGCATGGAATGCAGGCCAGCTGGATACAGGTGGCTGAGTGGCAGGACCTTCCCCTCCTCTGTGCAAGACCTGGGCTTGGTTCCCAGGCAGGGACAATCTGTGTAGCCACCACTCATGTCGGTTTGTCATACTATGGTGGAGTGTGTGGATGGACACGTTTAGTGGAGCTGGCAGAGTAAGAAAGTCTGTTATCTACTTCCAAAAAGCGGACAAGAAAACCTGGGTCACGACGAAGCCCTGTCCAATCTGCAATGGACCGTGGCAATGGCGCAAGGCCAGGTAACTCCGTCCCCTTGTGCGTGGGGTTGCAACGAGTCAGACCTGCTTGATGGCAGTTAGTACAACAGCAGCTCCTAGCAGCAGCCCTCCATATTGACAATTCTTAAACATGGATAAGGTTTTTCTTCCAACATACTTCTTGATGGTTCAGAGGCTAACATGTCTTACCCTACTGCTCAATGAGCAATCTGTCGATCTGAACCCTTAATCTCCCTGGAGATGCTCTAGTCACGTGTTCTCTTCATTACTCCTCATTCTAGGTTGACAACACAGAGAACCCTACAGTAGCACCTGGCTACAATGTTCAGGTTCTAGGAAAGACTTTCCACTACGATAATACCAACTGTCTTTCAAAAGCCACCAAAGTAGCTTTTCTAACCAGCAAATGATCTGCTTACAGACCTTTATTTAGTTTAACAAAACCTTGAAACAATCATGGAGAAGAAAGTTCTAAAAGTGATTCTTATTTGGCAGCATTTAACAATAATGATTCAAAGTACCGTTTCTATGTCATTGTTATGTATCACCAATTCGGAATCGACTCCTAGATGGCCCTCCTGCTGGTTTTAAGAGGCAGTGAATCGCCTGGGAAGATATTGCTCATCTTTCTCCCACGGAGCGGGTGGATTGGAGCCCCGTTTGTTTGGGATGACAGTGCAACTCCTTATCACTGAGCCACCAGCGCTCTCCAATGCTCCCTAATATTGTTATGTCCAGAGTGTTGGAACCAACCAATAACTGACCCTCTAGCAGGTTTTCAGATGCAGTAATACAGTAAATCTTAACGTAGGAACCTGTGCATCTTTCTCCTGCAGAGCAGCTGGGAGATTCAAACCGTGTATCTTTATGTTGGCAGCACAATCCCTTACAGCTAAGCCACCAGCGTTTTTGAATGTTCAAAGACCATTTTAATTTTTAAAATCTCTACATGTGAGGCATAAGGATGAAGAAATATTTTGCCACTAGCTATTTGTGTCCTTGAAGAAGTAAATTTTTTTAAAAATACAAAATACTTACTAAATTTAAAAATGCCAGTAATTTATCCTAAAGTATTCTATAGCTACTTAAAAAGCTACAAATATGAAGTGTTTTGCTTGAATAGTAAGGTACACACACACACACACGCACACAAATGTGGCAGCAATATATTTAGACCTTTACTGAATTGTAACTCTCATCTGTTTTGCTACAGAGAACAGTGAAACAAAAGATTATAGGCCCAAAAGAAAAGGTCCTCCCACCTGGCAGATTGTGCATAATAGGACATGGACATCCTATTAAACTGAATCTCCCACAGCGCTCTTAAACAAAAGCGACAACATTCCTGGGCTCCCTACCTCACCCTGAAGTACACACTGGATTGTGCCACAGCCACACCATCAGAGAGCAGAGCACACCCCAATATCTTTTAGTCTGCTCAGGGTGTCAAGATTCCATTTCATGGCAACTCCACAGTGGGTTTCCAAGGCTGTAAATCTGTATGGAAGAGAAGCCCATCTCCCTTCTATGAAGTGGCTGGTGGATTTGAACCACCAACTTTTCAGTGAGGTTGGTCAAACACCTAATGCAGCACTCTACCTGGTCTTGGAGGCTCTAAAAAGCAGGAGTCACTCAACCTTTACTTTGATCCCTTGCTATGTCAAATTTAAAATGTGCCTCACTGCATGGTGAAAGGGGCCCATCAATTGTGATAAGGGTAATGTTCACCACCACCACCTGCTGTGAAGCTCACTCTGACCCAGGACAAGCCCGTGTAAGTCAGACCACAATGGTGCTCTGCAGGCTTTTCCGGGTGGCTGACTATTAAGAAGCAGAACACCTACCTTTCTTGTGAGGCATCTTTTGATGGACTCAAACCTATATTCTTTGATTAACTACCAAACACATTAACCATTTGTGTCAATTATTCAAATCAAATAATGGCACTTACAGGGGAGGTACTTGCATTATATTCCCAGTAAATTTCTCCAGAATGCCTTCAATATCTTCTTGTGTGATTTTATCTGCCAAAAAATGACACTAAATCAACCAGAGAAGTACATATGACATTTTCACTCTACCAGTAATTTTGAAAATTCATTAAAAAGAAAAAATTAGCAACAAGGTAAGTACTATGCTGTGTATGTTTTATAGGCCAAATTCTACCTTGTCTAAACAGCTACAATAATAAGATCAAAGGGGAAGAAAATATTCATTATTCATCATGAGCACAAGATTTCCCCTGCTTTTTTGCCTCCAATAAAAATGAGTCAATCATTCTATATACATTTAGAAGGATCATACTTTATTTAGAAGACGAGAGAAAAGTGTTACACAAGCTATAGCAATGAATCACTACTAATCAATAATCAAGTGGTCAGAAATTAAGAAAACGAATACCCACATATTGTTTTCTAATTTTTCCAGGAATCTTTACTATAAATAACCTCATTAGAATACATCAGTGACGAGATAGATAGCAAGTGTTACCCATGGTTTAATTTTTACTATTCTTTAAACTATTCTGTTAAATATTTTATATGTTCACTTCCAAATTTGTCTCCTGGTAAAATTGTATTGCTCAACAAGCCCCTACTGCCCTTCAGCCAGCTCTTGGAAGATCTGTTCTTTCAAATGAACACTCGGTTAAAAATCTGACTTCTGTCGCAAAATGGTATCGTACAAAAAGAATATGCACAGAAGAATTTCAGTATACTTTAAGCACTTTTTAAATAGTGATTTTACAAAATTTGAATGGATAGCTATAAAGCTTTAAGTATCTGTCATTCAATTATATTTCCAGCTATTATTTAATAATCTTTCAAAGAGAAGAAGCTATTTCATAGTTTTGTAATTTTCCAAACCAAAATAACAAAGATATTCAATGATCAGGGATTTTTTTACATCCTTACCTATGAATCCTTATACAAATTTGATACTGTGTGATAAGCAAAAACATAGACAGATCCTTTAACTTGCTTCTCCTACTCAGCTGGTGGAAATTTCCTTTAAACGGCTTTTATTTTCATGTATACCAGTAAATTTTACTTTATGTGAACAATATGAAGCAAGAACTAATTACTGTGCTTTGAAGTATTGTTCTAATACCAGAATTTAAATTAAGAAAACCAACATGGAATACTGTGCCCTTATTTGAATATCAACACAGCTAGACAGCCTTAACCTCAGTGTGACCTTGATCCTTACAAGCAAAGCCTGAACAAAGACCAGAATCTACTCATTGGCCTCAAACAGATAGAAAAGAGCTACAACACCTACGAGCTTCACAAAGGCAGCTCTCACGCCAATGGCTGTTCCGTTCACACTTTCTTAAAGAGATACATCTCTCTCATGGCATAAATGAGGATTTTTACACACACACACACACACACACACACACACACACACACACGATTCTTACGCTACCACAATATTAAAGCATAGTTATTGATGGTAGTTAACTATTTAAAACCTAAGCTGTACTAACAAAACAGCAATATTATCACTGGGCGGAGCAACCGCTGAAAATAGGATGGTTGATCACACTGAAGTAGTGCATACTGTAGCCAGCCACACATCTTAAAAAGCAAGACAAAACTGCTTTCTACTTATGCTGGGTCCTCTTACTGGCACACTGCTGCAATCTGTCCTGTATTTTACGGCTATTCTTTCCTTCCTGAGAGATGACAAGAAGATGGTTGGGCATGTTGTCAGGAGGGGCTAATCCTTGGAAGAAAGATGGATCCTGCTGAGAAAGGTGGAGGGTCAGAGAAAGAGAAGGCAACGCTCAACAAAGTGGCCTGAGGCAGTGACTATGGCAAAGGCCTCCAGCACTGAAGAGTTAAGATGATGGTGCAAGATGGTACAAGGTTCAGACCTGCTGTTCTCAGAGCTTTTATAGGGTGTAGCTGACTCCACAGCACCCAACAACAGCTATCCCAAAAGTACCCCCTAAACAAAGCTGAGCTCCGAAGCTCCCAATCACTTCCACCACAGTGCTTCCTTTCTCTGACTTAATGTCAGAGGCAATTTTGGTTTGTGCTATTCATTCTGCAATTAATCATATGCATTTTTAAACTGTTACTTATTATATGTGTAGTTACTATCTCATGAAATTCTAATCTCCTAATGACAGGTTCTCTTCTTAGATACCCTAACAATTAAATCTTATTCAAACATTCCTGCAGAATTTAATTTGTTGAAGAATAACAGAATCTCTGATTGAAAGAACATTTAAAAGTCATATATGCTAATCATTTATCTGGCATTTGAGTCACCAGTCTAAAAGCTTGAGCTATTTTATAATAAAAACTTTAACCTCTCTTGCCATATGCTGCTTCAATTATATATACACACACACATACATGCATGCACACACACACACACACACACACACACACACACATATGCTTTTTTTAAAAAAATCTGAAAACATAGTCATGCAAAGACATGTACACACATGTTCATGGCAGGCCAGCGGTATTCTTAAGAGTTAAAAAGAGCCAAGAGGTGCACAGTTCGAATCCACCAGATGCTCGGCTGGAGAAGGAGGAACAATCTCCTCCTATACCAGTCAGATCTGATTTGACAGTACACACAAAAAAATAAAATTAAAAAAAAAAAAAAGAGTTAAAAAGTAGAAATAACCCCAAGGAAGTTTAGCACACTATGCAGCATTGCTTAGCCCTGAGAAGGAATGAAGCAGCCCTACTCCATCTACAGTACGGATGAACCCTGAAAACACAGTGCTAACTGAAAGAAGTCAGAGATAAAATGCCACATATGAACTGTCTGGAGCAGGAAAATCCAGAGACAGACAGCAGATCAGCGGCTGCATGGACTAAGGGATGAGACTGTGTGCGAGATTACTTAGTACATGCAGGGTTTCTTTTGGGGATGATGAAAATGGCTGCAAGCCTGTAAAGTGTAGACTTTTAAACAATGATTAATTTTTTCTCAATTGGAGGGGAACCATTCAAAGGCATTACTTTGGATGGAGGATGTGGTACATGAAGACACAGCAAAACATACTAATAGTCTAATCCAAATAATAATCCAAATAACCAATGCCTCTGTCAAGGGTAATAAGACTATGAAATCTACTTCCAAAGGGATCGAAGTAAGAATATCCAATAACTAGCCAAAGACAAACACTTGATGAAAGAAGATGGCTATCATACAAGTGTCACGAGACTTGGAATAACTGGATTCCTTTTTTTTAAACAAATTAATAAACCATTAATGTGACAATGAGTTTTGAATTTGATGTTTTAAAGTTTTTCCCTTGAAAATACATTAAAACAAAAAAATTTAAAAAAAAAACAAAAGATATAAAACAGTATGTCACATATGATTATTTATTCAAAATATACTGATTCTTCTAGTGAACCTATAATGTAACAGCAATTACTTAAACGAACTATGATATGGAGTTAAAAAGCAAAATTCAAAACAATAGACTAACAGGTAATAGCCAAACTCTGTTGCCATCAGCAACTTTGAAACTGGACCAAGGATATGAAACAGCATTTCAGACACTAGACAACAACCCCTAGGTGAACATAAGCAAAGGTGAGGCCAGGACCACATTTGGCTTTCTGTCTGGAAGTACCTTCTCACTCATGTTCAGGGATAGGGACCGAGAGGAGAGCAAAGCACAGACAGCAATCTTGGAGCATGTAGGGGAAAGGCCAGGGTCTGGAGTTTTTTGAGGCAATTTGGGGGAATTACAAAGAAAGAGCTCCAAAAGCAATCATATACAGAGCGAACTGTGAATTCATACAGGTGCAAAGTCAACTGGAGAAAAGATAGCTTTTTAATATACATGAGCTTGGATTCATACCACATACTACATAGAAAAATTACTCTAAATGGCCATAAAAGGAGCATTTACAAAGGGGAATGAGAAAAGGTTTAGATATGTTCACTACCCTGACTGTGTTCATGGCTTCATGAATAAATACCAAAATAAAAATTTAGCTAATTGTACACTTTAAATAGGTATAGGGTTGTCTTTTTTTTTTAAGTATATCAAAAGTCTCTTTTGAAAAAGAAATGAGATTTCTGACCTGGACTGCAGTAAGTACTGCTGTTAAATTTCCTGACTAGACTGGATGTACTAACGACAAGCAGGATAGTGTTTGGTTACAGAGGATGCACTTTGGAACCTGAAGTGGTGAGGCTGCTCTCAGAAGCGTCACAAACATTTTGCTCTTTTCTTGATATTTTTCTGTACTTTTGCTATTATTTCAAAATAAAGAATAAAATCTTATGGAGATATTTATGAACGACCTTTTAACAGGGAATATTAAAAAGCAGATGAAACATACAAATTCTTGGGAGGAGATTATCTAGCGTGATACACAAAAAAATATCTCAAAACTGGTGAAGAAATTCATTATACAAATAAAAGTCTTCCAAAAGAAATCTAGAGAATTAAATCTCTTTATCAATGACTTCTAACAGACATGAAAAAGAAATCATGCTCATTTGACAAGACACAGAGACACTGAAGGAAAGAATATAAGGTCATTTCCCTTATGAACACATGCAACTATCCCAAACTAAATATTAGCAAACTAAATCCAATTATGTATAGGATAACACATCATCACCAAGTTGGGTTTATTGCAGAAATGTAAAGTTTAATATCTGAATAAGAAGAAGAGTCAACAGACGTAGAAAAACCATTTGATAAATTCAATGTCCATTCACAATTACTTAGAAAAAGTAAACAATGAAAAAGAAAACAAATTACCCTGAAAATGATAAACAGAAGGCAACATTTTGATGAAGAACTATCACAAGCAACAAAAGAACCAAACAAGGCACAACCACTCTGGGAGGCAGTTTGGCACTTCCTCAGAAAGCTGAACACAGAAATTCTCTATGACCCAACTACTCCACTGCTTGACCCCTGAGAAAATGAGAACTGAGGGACAAATGGAGACTTATACACCAATGTTCATAGCAGCATTATTCACCATCGCAAGAACTTGGAAACAGCCCAAATGTCTAACCACAA